TGTTTTTGTTTTTATATTTGAGTCACATTTGTACATTACATGTTAATATGCATAATTTTTAATTTTTAATCAAAATATATGTATATATTTTTTTTTGTCATGTTGTATGATATTTTTAATTTTGTTTAATTAATTTTGGCATGACATCCTTTTTTGTACTATTCGCATGGTAACCTCATTTGCATAACTCGACATAATACATAATTGGATTAAGGGTAATACACTTTTAATTTAAAATTATTTTAAGTGGGCAGTCATAACTGATTTGAGGTCCGCTTTTAATAATTTTAAAATAAAAGTGTATCCCGAAAGTGAAACCTAAAAATTGATTCGTCACCTAAAATTTGGGAACGAGAGAAAAAGAAATGTTCGTTTATTTAAATATATCGAGAAAAGGTTGTTATATCTTTAAGATCTGGTCTCGATATTTGTAAATAATCGAACATTCTTTATCTTTCTAAAACGACTTGGTAATTTTAATTTAATTTGTTTGAGTGCTTTTGAATGTTTTTAAATTTATATCTTTGTTTTATGAGATCAAAAATCAAAATAAATTCGAATTTGTAAAGTTCATTGCAAAGACGTTAATTAATCGACTAGGTACCGATTTAGGGCGTTGTGGGGGTGCTAATCCTTCCCCACACGTAACCGACTCCCGAACTCGAATTTTGGTAACGCAGACCTCAATTTGTTGTTTTAATTAAAATTAATTTTTATTTAAAATGGCAAAGCATTTCTGGGTGTCCAATCACACCCTAATCAAAGATTGGTGGCGACTCTTTGAACTGTATTTTTTCGATCATAAAGGAAATCCAAAAATTTTCAAAACGAGAGGTTTTCAAATCACATTTGTTTTTAAATTAAAAATCAATTGAAAGAGAATAATTCAAAAATTGATGTGATTTTCAAAACCTCACCTTTTTTTCACTTTTAAGAAAAAAATCGTTTCGACACTAGTTGTTCTTCAATTCCTTGTCTTTTGGATGTTAATCAAAGAAACTTTATGCCTTTATAAGTTAATCTAATTGGGGTAATTGATTAAAGCAGAAAAGAAGTGGAAACAAAGAGCCTAAGGTTATTATTCGATGGACACGGGAGGGAATTCGTTACCTTCGGGAGCTGATGGAGTGAAGAGGAAAGTGTCCTATTTCTACGACCCCGAGGTTGGGAATTACTACTATGGCCAAGGTCACCCGATGAAGCCTCACAGAATCCGAATGACCCATGCCCTTTTAGCACACTATGGACTGCTTCAAAATATGCAAGTTTACAAGCCCTGCCCTGCTCGAGATAGGGATCTTTGCCGCTTCCATGCTGATGATTATGTGACCTTCCTCCACAGCATAACACCCGAGACACAGCAAGATCAACTCAGGCAACTCAAGCGGTTTAATGTCGGTGAAGTGTCCGGTCTTTGATGGCCTTTACTCCTTTTGCCAAACATATGCCGGTGGATCTGTTGGTGGTGCTGTCAAATTAAACCATGGTCTTTGCGACATTGCGATTAACTGGGCTGGTGGCCTTCATCATGCTAAGAAATGTGAGGCTTCGGGGTTTTGCTATGTCAACGATATTGTCCTTGCAATATTGGAACTTCTTAAGGAGCATCAGGTATGTTTTCGATACCTTAGTTCCTCATTAGCTTTCTTAGGAACTTTCTTCAACATCATCTAGAGGCAACCTAATGTTTGTATCACGATGGGTAAACTTTAGGAAAGAGTTAAGTCAATGTGCATTAGTGCTTATTAATCCAAAGCTCAAGTACGATACTCAGGAAAAAGATAGAAAATCTTAGACAAAGCTGCTTATCTGGTTTTTCTAGCTTTAGAACTTTCTTCTTCATACGCAAAATGCAACCGTGTCTTTATCTCTTGATGGGAAAACTTTAGAAAATAGTTAAGCCATTGGGCACTACTCACTAGTGTTAGCACTTATTGAAAACAAGCAACCCTCGAAGAATAATAAACAGTTGCTATAGTAAGCATTGAATAATAAATATAATTATATATCTATTTGACCTGGATGACTTTTCAATTCATACATTTCCTCCTAGGTTGTAAAGATTTATGTTTGTGCACCCTTGATAAATGTATGTTGTATAATTTCAAATCGATGATGCTCCTTCCTTTTGTTGCAGCGTGTTCTTTATGTTGATATCGAGATCCACCACGGGGATGGTGTGGAGGAGGCATTTTATACAAGTGACAGGGTTATGACTGTTTCATTTCATAAATTTGGTGATTATTTTCCGGGCACAGGGGATATACGTGATATTGGGTATTCAAAAGGGAAATACTATTCCCTTAATGTCCCTTTGGATGACGGAATTGACGATGAGAGTTACCATTACTTGTTTAAGCCAATTATGGGTAAAGTTATGGAAGTATTTAAGCCCGGTGCAGTGGTTCTTCAATGTGTGCTGATTCTCTATCTGGAGATAGGTTGGGGTGTTTCAATCTCTCGATCAAGGGTCATGCAGAGTGTGTTAAATTTATGAGATCATTCAATGTTCCGTTGTTGCTACTGGGTGGTGGTGGTTACACCATTCGAAATGTCGCTCGCTGTTGGTGCTATGAGGTAACCTATCACAGATTAAGTTGATTATTATATACTAATTCATTTAAGCGATTCGGTTTGTGATTGTTATCTTATGTTATTATATTGGTCTTTTCTGTTTCTCACTCAAGTATTGTACACACTTAAGAGAAATTTTATCATTTGCTATAACTAAACGCTCTTCTATTTATTTATTTTTTCAGTAATGCCGGTGTGTTGTATATTTCATCAACACTTAAAATTGGTCTTTTCGACTTTGACCTTATTATACTCTCAATCTTAAACTCAGAAGAACTATTTGTGATGGATTAATTAATAACCATCTCTATGTGATGAATGATCAGACTGGAGTTGCACTTGGAACAGAAGTTGACGACCAACTGCCTCAACATGAATACTATGAGTATTTCGGTCCGGATTATAACCTTCATGTTGCCCCTAGTAACATGGAAAACAAGAACTCACGCCAGTTACTTGAAGACATACGTAATAATCTCCTTGACAATCTCTCAAAGCTTCAACATGCACCAAGTGTCCAATTTCAAGAAAGACCACCCGACACCGATCTTCACGAGGTGTGTTCCATTTTCGGCATTCCACATTTTATGCTTTAAATATCCTTTTTATGGTTAACTTGGTGGTAGTTTGCATTTATACACTTTATGTTACTTGAGCTCGGAGTATGCATGTTGGATGCGGATATATTCAGTTGTTTCCAAGTTTTAATTTTGGATGATCTTTGGAATGTCGTCTTTCTATATTCATGTTCGGACATGCATAATGAAGAGTCGGAGTAGCATGGCATTTCATACATTTTACGTGGTTAGCGGTTACATATATCTACTTGGCCCTTATATTAGTTGCTTTTTTAATTCATAATGTTCAGGGTGATGAAGATGAAGATGATGCGGATGAAAGGTGGGATCCAGATTCAGACATGGAGGTCGATGAAAAGCGGTATTTATCTTCTTTTTTCACCCGAACCCGTTTTCAAATTCTTATTGTTGACTCATTGGCTTCACACTCGTTCCACAGACCTATTCCAACCAGAGTAAAGAGAGAAGCAGACGAACCTGAGAGAAAAGATTGGGTATGTTTTATGCTATAAATGTTGGATTGCGAGGCTAAAGGCATTTACAATGCGTTTCCTTTTCTTTTTTTTTTAAACATTTGTTTTTTTTTATCCTTAGGAGGCTACTAAAGGAGCTGCGGAGCAAGCTAGAGGGTTCCACAATGAGACAAAGGTGATGTAAACACACTTGCATTTCTATTCTCTATAAATTTATGCTAAAATACACCTCATGCCACTTAACGATTCTTCGGTTACAAACAAGTCTCTTTTTTTCTAAAAGTTACAATTTAGTCATTCAGTTAAATATATTATTAGAAATAGGGCTCAAGTTGTTAAATATGAAATGGAATAGTGACGTAGTTTGATATAATAATAATTTTAGTTCACATGTACATTATATTAATTTGGTCTCAAACCGTAACAGTTTAAATAAAATTAATCTTTCATATTTAAAATTTTATCAATTTAATAGTGGCGTTGATTTATTCCTTGTCTAAATTGTTTGTTCATGTTTAAGATTCTGGTATCATAAAAGAATCTAAATTGATGGAATTTCTTAATAAGAAAGGGTTTAAGTTTACTGAATTATTTTCAATTTGGATTAAATTCATAAAATAAAAAAAAATTTAAAAAAAAAACTGGGATTAAAACTATAATTATACTCGACATATGTTTCAAGTTAATGGTGGAGTGACATGACTAATTTGTAACTTTTTTAAAAATTAAGACGTATTTGCAATCAAACTGATAATTGTGTTAATGTTTTATGTTCCCTTTTTCAGACCGGGCATGTCGGGCCAATGGCTATCGATGAACCAAGTGCGAAAGCGGAGATAGAAACATCAAACAAAGCTTCTGACTCAGTGTACCCGAAACCCTAAATCAAAACCTTCTTACCCGATGTACCGGAAGCCCTAAACTGAAACCTTCGGAATCAATGCTGTATGCGACTGGTGTGCAGTATCAATTTTCTAACATTATAGTATCAGTGTACACCTGTAGAAGCCATGAAAGTCTTAGCATCTTTAAGTTTTGTCAGTGTTACTGACCCAAAATTTAGGCGATCTTAGTAATTGAATTATTTTTGGCTTTAGTTCACCATTTGCAACTTATCTTAAAAAAATGGAGTAATTTAATAAATTCAAATATTTAATGAATATTGCTTTGGTTGGTAACACAGGTGTCAAGGATTGAATACAAATACTTTTATTCTTTCATAATACATATGGTAAAAATCATATTGGTCATTGAAGGTCGTATGGTACACAAATTGATGTGTAAACATACTTCGGATTGACATGAAATCGGTGTACACTCCCAAATAAAAACTACTCAGCCAACCAGAGCAGCAAAGTAACAATCCAATTAGCCTCAGCCGATTCAGATTGCAGTTGAATCGGCTTAGGAGTTGAATGGCTTCATTAATAGTGTAAAATGTACAGGGTTCACAGCAGAACTTACATGATTATATGCATCAATGTAGTCGTCGATGCTTTCGTCGGCACGTTTGAGTGCACCAAAACTCGAACAGTTCAATCCATAAAAGTACGGAAATAAAGTTGGTGAATGCATTCGATGAGTTGAATTCAGTCATGATACTTCTTGAAGTGCTAGATTCAGTTCCTGAGCAGATTTTGCAACCGATCCTCCTCTTCTATGGAGAAAAACGAATCAGAATAAGTCATATGGTATAGAACAAACTGCATATGATTATACCTACGGCACTTGTGCAGGTTTGATAAACGCCATACTCTCTCACCTGGTAAGGACAGGCAGGCATTGCTTTACTCTTTCGAGTTCTATAAAGCAGAGGTTGCAACGCTCAAACCTAAGACAACCGCAGCATGAAAACTCGGTTAATAGTCCAGTAACTGAATTTTTTAACACAAAATATGCAATTTAGATAAATTCGGTCACACCTCTGTTCTGCCTCAATGTCTACACCAGTGGGTGTCAAAGCTGATACTGTTGAACAAATCATCGAACCAAATGTCCAGACCAGCTTAAGCAGCATGTCAAGACAGATGCTCAAATGCCTACACAAAGGCCACGGTTAAACATCGAAACTTAACACCAATACATTAGAGTATCAGAGTGTAAAGCCGCAGAAAACTATAGAAAGCATTAGATGTTTTCAGGATGGAGAATATACGCTGCACAGAAAATGCCAGATTATGACACTTTCTTACCTGTCCATGTTACTTCCAAGGAGACCAGATAGAAGCGGCAGAAGACAGGTGCAAATTTCTAACGTGACAATGTCCATTTTCTCAGTGATGATGCTAATCACATCAGCAAGCACCTGTGATTTCCATCATTTATAGAAAACTTAAAGAGACTCCTCTGTACATTTCAATTTACATAAAAGTGTGGGGATGGATGGTTATATAAACAAAAATAAACTGCATACAGCATGATCAGCCATCTTTTCCATTGCATTGATTGCCCCCTTTATGTCATTCCTTTCCCATAGTCGACGAACAACCTATAACCATTAACAGACAATGGCTCAGAAATCTCTATGAAAACTTCAATAGTGCAGATACCTTACAATGAATTGACACCAAAACATCCAATAAATCCATTAGCATGAATTAGAGTTTAGTAGGGTCACCTGTAACTTGGCTAGACGAGACTGCATGGAACCGATGAATTGATCATGCGGCTCCATTACATCCGCAACAGTATACTCATCAGTAGCAGAAGGCATTTCTTTCTCCACATGGGAAGTGTATCGTCTTTGTTTATACTTCAAAGATAAACATGAATCCATAAATTAGAATGGGGATTTTGAGAACAAAGAGAACAAAGGATAGAAAGTGAATCCAAACGTAGACATGCTTTTACCAAAGGCATGCTTGTCACAGATACATTCCTCGAAGAGATACTCAAAGAAGGCCCATCAAAATTATATCTCCTTTTCTCCCAATTTATGACTACTGAATGTGTTCTTCCTGAATAGTTGACAGAAGACATTCAGCTGAGAGATCATAGAATTGTGCATATAACAAGAAGCTATCAATTGATATACCTCCTTTTCGGCTTTCTAGAGGATATGCATCTCTGTGTGATTTTTGCGCTTGTGCATCATCTGAAACAAAGGTACAGTTCAGCAAGAATGGTTGAACATTCCATTCCAACTTGAAAATGCAATAAAAGCCTGCTCAAGCAAGGCTGTATTTGAAAACCAAGCAAATCAAGAATACATGTACTATGACCACATGCCTGCAAGCCAATAACCAAGACAAACAAACCAAAGCTTAAATCATCGACTTCAAGCTAGTCCAGTTAGATCTATTCAATCTACTTAAGCAGCCATATAGCAGAAAGTGAAGTTCAAATCAGTTGTACTTTACAATTACAATGCAAGCCAAAAATAACACAACGGATATGCCATACATTCCTCAGGGTCAAACATGTTATCCAAAGTGTAAAACAACCTAAAGTGAGAAAGAGACACATAAGAGTACATCCCTACCCTGCAACTTACCAGCCTTAAAACATATAGATGCATAGTCAAATTAGACAGTGGAGTTATTTCTAGAACTACAATTCTTTCGCTGACATGGTTCAAATGTCGTGTGCCTCTTTATCATATGATTCAACTTATATGTTCATATCAAAATACCAAAGATCTATATTTTCCTATATTCCTTCAGAGGTAGCTCATTGCTCCCAAACAATGCATTTTCTTTATACGACCAAAAAGTTCATAAACTATTATTAGAATTTTAAATGGCCCTCTTAGTTGTTCACTTCAATTTATCAGTAGTTACTGTTAAGCCTTGAGAAAATCCTACTTGCTATGAAGCACAGTCATTCGCTAAAAGCATTTTCAATAGAAACATTCTCTGTCATAATCTAACCCATAGACTGATAACAAAATGGAGGTCAAGCAAATAAGATTTTGGGGGAAAAGCAGCTAAATATGAAAGCAGAATGTTAAAGAGTTTTGAAAATATACAATTTTCATCCCGGTAGCTTGAAGGCAATTCCAACACCGAGTTAGGTTCACTCTTGACGGAGCCAATGCACCCATCTTCCCTCGCATTCATTTCTGCCGCAGATGTTCCATGAATTGGGCCTTTAACAGATGGAAAAGTACTCCTGTCCAGAACACTGCTGAATTCAGGAGCCTTAGAACCTGCAGTCTCAGGCAGAGCAGAGATAGCTGGCTGGTCCATATCTTCCCTGCTATTTTGAAAATTCCGAAAACTGGATGTCTTCGACTGCAAAGAAAATGGCATTGTTCTTCCAACAATACCAAGTTCTTTTCTGGAATCAGCTCCCTGCTCCGAAGTTCTCCGAACCATTCCAACTTCTTTTCTTGCTTCAGCAACAGGCTGACTCGATTCCAAACTTCTACCAGTTATTCCAACTTCTCTTCTAGATTCAGTGACCTGCTCCAAACTTCTCTCAGATATCCCAACTTCTTTTCTTAATTCAGCAGCCTGCTCCACCCTTGTATCATTTCTAGGCACAACCACAGGTACAAAATCGGACTTGCTAAAAGTAGAAACATTGACAGCTGAATTAGCCCTTGCAGAACTCCGCTTTGGAGCTGCTACACTAGGAACTGCTACCAAACTTTGTTGAGTTGTCCTTCGAGCAGTGTTTAAATTGACCCGATGAGGAGTACCAGGTAGATTTCTTGTGGCTGTAACCAGTATGTAAAAACCAAAATAAGATAGATAACTAGGCCAAGGTTGCACTCCCTCCCACTTGCACTTCCAGATATTTCATAACTTTTTGAAGAAGCTAAAATAAGTGGAAGAAAACATCTAAGCATTTATGATATCCATCGATCCACTTTTGCCTTCATTTTTCGTTGTTATTTTACTGGTCGAAAACTTGTGTAGTTATGTTTAGAAGTGATGGATTTGACTTGTCTATCCTAAGCCCTTTTCGACTAATAGCAAGGAACAGAAAGTCGAGTAGATATGCAAATACCCAGAGAAAAATTAGAATAAAATATAACGTACTTTTGGACTCCTTAGCAGGATCTGAGTTTTGTGAAATGGACAACCTTCCAAGAGATTTTGTTTCCTTCACTAAAGGATCTGGATTTTGTGAAACAGGTAATCTTCCCATACTAGCTTTTGTGGTATTCTCATTCAATACAGAGAGGTTTCCACCTGAACGAGATTTAGGTTCAGAATGACCATTTACACGTTTAGCATTACCAACTGCATATGCTTCTATGCGCTGTGCCAGTGACCAAAATTCAATATTAAAATTAATGTAATGACTGCAGTTAAAGAAAGATGGACCAATTAATTATGTCGAAGCGTAGAAATCAGAGCAATACCGAGATGTCTACAATCCATACTCCAACACAGCTTTGATTATATGAGCAGCCAAGAAGCTTTCCTTCATGAACATTAAGATCTGACAATTTAGACCATCCCACATCCACACCATCATGACATCTTACTGGTTCCCATGAGAAAACCTAGAAATTCCAAAGAAAAATGAAATGCAAACTGAAATCAGCATAGAGAATTCCTGACTAAATGATTCTAGACAAATGGAAGTCGAATATAGAAAAAATCACCTTCATATTTTCATGCAATCCACAGAGTACAGTTCTTCCATCAGGATTGAAGGTTAAGCAACGGACTCCTGTAGTCTAAAGTAGAAAGAAAACTTCACGTATATTTTTCTCCATAAAAACAAGATAAAAGATCCTAGATCTGAACATAAGGAGAAGATCTTCTGGTCTCAACATGAATGTCTAACTCTACTTTAGAACTAATAACAGCACCAAAGACCAATAGAAGTACCTCAGGCCCAGCTGAACCAATAAGCTCAAAGGTTTCAAGGTCCCAAAACTTAACAGTGCGATCAGCTGAACCTGTGAAACCAAGAGGATATTAGATCAGAAAGCACAAGAAGGATTTACAACTTCTATGGACAACATAACAGATCTTACGATGAGAATTAAGTTTTAGGACAACATCAAAGAAGTCAATGAGCAATATCCAACAGCTATTTTAATAGAAGGTCATAACCAACCTGTAGCCAGTAGAAACTCATGGGGGTGAAAATCTAAGCACTGGATTTGACCTTCATGATCCTTGAACTGATGCAACAGTTTTCCAGCAGTCAAATCCCACACCTGTTGATATACAGAAGATGAAAAAGATCACTGTAAAAGTTATCCAGAATCAAGTTTGAAAAGTATCATGTGTATACATACTATACTGCCTATACCTGTGCATTAACATCTGTTCATATGGTAGATATGTTTTTGTCAAATGGCACCGACAGTAAGCAACTTATATGCCAAATGACAATTATACCATTTAAAACAACGAAATAGCCAGTAAATATGAAATCATAAAAGCAGTACGCCAAATAGCTGCACCTATAGGTCCATTCCTGACCATTTAACAGTAAACAAGGGTACTAGCTCAATGACAACCAAGTTTCTAAAGTTGGCTGACTCGGTGAATCAAAAATAATATGAAATGAAACAAGGTATGTTAGATCGTCCAACAGCCTCAGCTTTGCATAGCCTCACTCTGAACTCCACAATCACAATTCTGTTCCTCAGAATGAGAATTAAGACCATGGCAACAAGACAGACCGCCAAAAGAACCAAAAACCCTTCTATGTCCATTCACACTATCATGGCCATGTAAAGAAAAATGAATAGAGAAAGAGCAAACAAATGTCTATAAATAAATGACCATATTGGTACGAAATAATTTATATGATGAACCAAAATATAGCAACTCCAACCTTCACAATGTTGTCCTCACCACCAGATACTACCCACCGACCGTCTGGTGTAAACCTGATCACATTGACTCCTCGAGTATGTCCTTTGTAAGTGTGGATACACCCTTTCTTTCTGATATCCCATATCTTTAGATTTGTATCAAGAGAGCCAGATGCAAAGAACTCGCCAAAGGGGTGAAAGTCCACAGAAATGCAGTTGGATCTATGACCAGTCAGGGTCCGAACAACTAGAAAAGTATCAGATTGCATCAAAGTTAAGACTGACATTTAACATACAACATGAGTATTTTTTAGGGAATAAAATGCACTACGGAATTAGATAAGCATACTTTTTGCCTCCTCCAAATTCCAAAGCTTGATGGTACCACTTGCAGCACCTGCAGCTACCAGAACTTCTGAAGAATCAAAGCTCACTGAATCTATTCCACTTGTGTGTCCTGGTAAACTCTGATAGATTATTCAGACACAAAATCAATAGAAGAAAGAATTCATCTATCTACAAAATGAATTTTTTTCAGAGGTAGAATAGTTTAATCTTTTTTTTTGTTTTGACTACTATGATTACTGACAGATAAGAGAACAGCAAAAGGGTATTTGAAACAAATTTAATAATTTGCACGTAGCAAAATGCTTAGAGAGAACTGACCAGTATGGCATTTGGTTTACCAATAGCCCAAAGATTAACCTTGTGATCTTCCCCTCCAGTCACAAGAACCCTCGATGATTTTTTTCCAATCTTTAGGCAATTCACACTTGAAGAATGTGCCACAAATTCTTCTGTTTATTAAAGTTATTAAGGACACCCCAAATAGAAACAAAAGCACCAACAACAAAACAACAAAGTTATATAGAAAAAAGAACAACAAGAGGTCACAGATCAAGTGAATTTATTCGGGGGGAAAGGATACGTAGCTTATAAGCGCGTTTGGTACTCATGGAGGAAACGAACTATAAGATAAAACCCTAGCAATGGCTATATCAAACATTCAAATGAAACAAAAATTAGATGAACGATGATGTAGATCTCATCCTCATCCCATTTCATTTATTCAGCCATTTTTCTACCACCGCAAAACCGACGGTTTTCACTGTTAGATCGGATACAACAAGAAACAAAGCAGTACATGAAAAAAATCTGATATAAAAAGAAAGAACAAAAGGATTAAACTGCATTTTACAAGAAACCAAACACTTGCATGAAATACAACAGTTCTCAGAGATTGCGTCGGTGTTCAATCTTTCCTTCTTGGGTCCCTCTAGAATTTGTGCTTTTATTCTATAGCAGAAGAAAGGGGTAGTTGTTGAGAAACGCAAGAAATGCACCCAAAAAAAACAGATCTTTACAAATCTTTCATAATAAAAAAAACCAAAATCTTGAACTTAAAAACCAAACTCGATCAAATAAGATTTTGCAGGTAACAAAGACGATTTAAGAGAAGATTAACGAAAGAAGAGAAGGGGCCGTTTTCAGGGTTCACTGCCGTTGCTTTTTTTTAACTGACTAATAAGAATTTCTTGGAACTTTAACTTTTTTTTTTCATAGAATTAATCCGGCGGTAAGAACTACGAACAGAGAAGGAGGGAAATTATAATTAAAAGGAAAAGGAAAAAAAAACAATGGCGGTAAATTACAATTATTTCACATCACAATATTATAAATTAGGGTTTAAATTTTCGTATGAGTTTTATGAAAATGAACTACTATTTAACACTGTTTATATATAAAATTAAAATATTAAAAATATATCAAATACTAACTTTATATTTAAATTTTATTCACAACTTCGAGATTTAAACATTTTTCATCATTTATATATATATATATATATATATATATATATTATTTTAATATTAATAAAATTAATTATTTAACCATTATCTTATAATTGGTAAATTTTATAATAAAATTATTTTATTTTAATTCAATTTATACACATTATCATTAAGTTTAGAGAGTCTTTTTATTGAGCAAATGTGTTAGTTGAGGGGTTTACTATATTTTCCTTAAAATCCAATCAAACCAAACCTAATTAAAAATATTAATAAATTACATATTTATTTTAATATTAATGGTTCCATATCCAATTATCCTACCTAACCTGTGATCGTATTACTTATTTTCTTTTCATAAATTCAAAAACAAAATCTTAACTGACATTATCAATTGATTTCATTTCGGTTATTTTAAATTTTTATGTAAACTTAAATTTATTTAATATTTCTAAACTATTTTTTCCTAATATAATGACAATACTAATATAAATATTATTTATTAACCTAAAAACTTGTATAGTGATATTTGGAATTAAAATCTTAAAATAATATTAATAAAATTTTATTTTCAAAAAAAGGATTAAAGTTTTGGGTAAATTATAGAAATGATCCTCGATTATAGGGTGTTATTTTGTTGAATCCCCCGACTCTCATAAGTTATCAAATGATCATCTAACTATATGGTGTTCCTTTATTGAGTCCCTCAACTATGAAAAGTTATAAAATGATTTTCTGACTATTCATATGTTTCAAATTTGTCTTTTTTAATGCAAATTTTGACGGTTTTGGATATGGACGTTAAGATGCTGACTGAGATATGTTAAAATATAATCTTAGAATCTTAAACGATTATCATATCTTAGTCAGCATGTTAATGTCAAGCTCAAACGACCATCAATTTTTTATCGAAAAATGATGAGTTCATAACATATGAATACTCGATGACCATTTTGTAATTTTTAACAGTTGAGGAACTCAACTCAACAAAACAACGTCTTATAGTCGGAGGATGATTTTATAACTTTTAATAATCAAGAGACTCAATAAAACAACACACTATAATTAAGAGATCATTTGTTTACTTCACCGTAAATATTTTTACAATATGTAATAAGCCAACTCTTGCATCTTTTTTTTTTGTGGAGTGTCAGGTTGTCACATGTGCGAAATCACCTGATGTTTGTCTCTTCTGGGGTACATTTCTCTTATTATAATCCTACCTATTTTTACATAGTATTAATCAATATGAATGAATCAAGTGAATGTTGAGCTGTTCGTGTCTTTTCAAATTTTTAATTTTTTTACAAAAAAATATTTTTACAATATGATTTAATTTTATACTTTGGATTTTTAATATGAATTTTAAAAAATGTATACCTTTAACCTCAAACATTGTATTCATCCCTTCATATATTATATCACCCAGCAATGCAAATGCATGTGCAAAACACATCAATGATAATAAGTGTATATTTAAAGCATTCCCAAATGATTTAAGAGCATTGGTGTCCAATTCCTTTGCTTCGTTTCTTCAAGTACCTATTTAAAAGCTCATCAATGGCATGTTTAGTTATCACTTCAATCCATATTCAAAAATCCAATGATAAAAAATAGTATCGGTATTAAAACTTTTTGATATAATTATTGATGCATTGATTATTAGTTGATTAATTCTAATAAGATATTATATATACTCATTATAAAGATAATTCTCTCAACTTTGTTTGTTACATCTATAACGTCAATGTATAAACTATTGATTATATTTAAAGATTTTAACGTCTCGTCATACCATATCAACTGTTAATTAATAATGATATTAAAAGATCTAACATTAGTTTTATTTTAAAATTAACCTTGATATAACTCATTCATCTGTTTCGTTGCTTAAAATAATGATATATATATATATATATGAAATATCTATATTATTATCTATATATTTTATAATTTTACTTATTTATGTTTATTATTCCTTTTTTTTCTAATACATTTACATATGTTTGAAACTCCTATGACATATAAACCCAAAGTTGGCTTGGGGCCATCCTCGGTATTTTATCGGATCACTAAATTTAACACTAATATATATTTTGAGTTACACAATTTGACTCTTAATGGCGGTCATTTACATAGTAATAATACAAAACTTTAAATTAATCATAATAATTGTTGATAGCAGCCATTTAAATTGTAATTATTATAGACGGTTAACTTATTTTGATTTAAACGAAAAAACGTAATTGATGGTTGAATGAAGTTTGAACAGTGATAACAATAGTAATGAATAAATAGTTATAAAAAAAGTGGACGAAGAAGAAAAACAGTCTAAAAAATTTGAATCATTTTTTTATTTGGTATAAGAGTTTAGAAGTTTATATATTAATATTTTCTACGTGTTGATGTCAGACTTAGGATAATAAATGTTATTCGTAATCATGACAAAGTAAATAAATACAACTATACAATCAATAGATTTGATCTTTATGATCTCTTGAATTTATCGATAATTTTGTTAATAAATAATAGTTACCTAATATTAAAGTTGACATTATAAGATATAATTCTATTTATTTTGTTATCAACAACAATTTCAAAATCATTTATTTTTTTCTCTTTTTTTCTTTTTTTGTTTCACTATTCTTACTATTTTTCTCTTTGATTTATATGTTTTTCTTCATCCAAACTAATCAATATAAATATGTTCATTAATGTTAAATCAAATATGATCAATTTGATTTTAATTTATTATCTTTCATTTATTAATAATAAAAATTATATTTATAACAATAAAATTTCTATCAATATTTTATCTTAAAACGTCACTCCAATAATTTTATTTGATTTGTAGGAATTCTTAAAACTAAAATCCTCGTGTTTCCTTCTACCTCTGTAGGAATTCTTACAAATCAAATAAAAATTAAATTAAATTTATGACACACACATACACAAATGTTTGGAACAAACTAAAACTAACAGAAACGACGTCGTTTAAGCTGTCCATTTTCTATGATTCTTTTCCTACCTTAAAATGAAAACGAGAAATATAAGACAGATCTGTTTGATTTGGCTCTTATTTGATTTAACTGAGAAGCGTACCAAAAAGCAGCCAGCGAGAGAGAGAGAGAGTGGCCATTGAAATTTTCTTCGTCGGGTAGCTTTTCTCCTCCGTTTAAAACCCTAGATACAAGGAGAAGAGCTAGAAATTCTAAATCTGTTTCATTTCCCACCTCCGAGAGTACTGCCAAAGTAAAAATTATTCGAATTACGAAGACGAATCGATGGATTTGGATCAGTGGATAGCAAAGGTTAAAGAAGGGCTGCATCTTTTGGAAGACGAGCTTCAGCTTCTTTGTGAATACGTATCCCATTTCCCCCCTCTCTATACTTTCCATTTTTGACTCTTCAACTACTAGGGTTTTACAGTTGGTTACTTTTTATCGTGTTTTTATATTGATGCTTAAAATAGGGTTTTGGTTGTTTCTTTTGGCGATTTGGAAATTGAGAGAAATTAAAAAACAGTGTTTGGTCAGTTGAAATGAAGTCCATGTCTGTACTTGAAACTCATGAAATCTATGTTTTCTTTTTCCAGTTTTTTTTTCGAAATTATAGTATCTGTTTGTAATGTTTGGTCAGTATCTTTTTAGTTGAAATGAAGTTCGTGTTTTTTTTTTTTTACCGAGTTATTCTTAATAACAAAGAGCTTTCCGAAACTGCAACAGCTTGTATTTCCCGGGTTTTTATTTGGTTGAAGAGTCATACACGTAATGTTTACCGTTATGTTTGTTACTGTACTTAGTTTCTTTGTGATGCATTTTAGTAGACTGTTTTGGTCGCCATTATATTGTAAACTTGCTGTTTTATTTGCTATGAAGGTTTACTCTCTGTGTCATTTCATCTGAAGGCAGCAGTTCGTTATATATTTTATTATGTGAAACATTATAGGTAAAAGAAATTCTCATTGAGGAGTCCAATGTGCAACCTGTCAACAGTCCGGTTACTGTTTGCGGTGATATCCATGGTCAGTTTCATGATCTAATGAAACTTTTTCGGACAGGAGGTCATGTACCAGAGACAAATTACATTTTTATGGTAAAGTTTATGCATCGTTTGCGTGGAAATTTTTGTGAAATTTTATGTGATGTCAATATCTAAATTATGCTAAACTTTTCTGTTCCCTTGGGCAGGGAGATTTTGTGGATCGAGGTTATAATAGTCTTGAAGTTTTCACTATTCTTTTGCTTCTTAAGGCAAGGTATGCACTCTGGGTACATGGTTAAGTATCTCTACAATTTTGCTTGGGGTTTATATACTAATTTTTAACCATGTACTTGGGTATATTGTTTTTGTGCTTGCAACTTGTTTTCGGTCCACTGTCTAATTCCTGGCCGAATTTGCAAACCTCTAATGTATAATATAAACGAATGCTCATTCACATTCCCTGTTGAAGCTATCGTGTTGTTTTGGCAACAAGAGAGGCAGGATATATTGTATTCATTGTCATTCTTGCATTTTGGATATAAAAGTACTGATAAATTGGTTCTGCTATTGCTTTTCTGATCATTTGATAAGGATATTAAATTTCTGCTTCTGCTCTTTTGTCTGCTAGGTTGTCAAATGCTGTTTCCTGTTTTAAATAAGAGGTAACTTTGATTTTCTCTTTATGTGTTCTGAATCATAGGTACCCAGCTAATATCACTCTCTTGCGTGGGAATCATGAAAGCAGACAACTAACTCAGGTGTGCCCCTGAATACCAAATTGGATTATGCTTATAAAGAGCTTATAGAATATATACATCTCATGTTCGGTTATAGGTGAATTAGTCTGCTTTTTTCTCTTTAGGGAAAAAGGGAACTGTCTGCCTTTCTGAGGATACATTAGTGTAAATCTATGGTTAAATTTTAAGATTAGCTCTCTGTATGCAAGGATCAGAGTTATTGGAAGTTATATATGCAATCATATTAGTTTGACTTTTAGGGTTGTAGTGATCTAAAGCTGGAAATTTAGGAAAAACATCCAAATACTAAGGAATGACATTTTTTTCGTGTGTATTCATCTTTACTAGGTTTATGGTTTCTATGATGAGTGCCAAAGGAAGTATGGAAATGCTAATGCATGGCGGTATTGTACAGATGTTTTTGACTACCTTACGCTCTCAGCAATTATAGATGGGACTGTAAGCATTTTCTCTCGTAAACCTACTACATCTAAGCACCTTATTAGCTCATCTTTGATAGTTCTATGATTTTCTATTTTGTAGGTACTCTGTGTACATGGTGGTCTTTCTCCTGACGTAAGAACAATTGATCAGGTAATTTTCATAATTTGAAGTTCATTATAGTTTTCTTGTAGCAAAGCATGGATAATAATGTGATAAACTGCTCTGAGACATCTCGAGTAATCAAATAAAAGAAGGGTGTGTATGGTGGAGGACAAAATTATGGTCAACAGAAGATAACTAAAGTTTTAAGAAATAACGGAGAAGCTCTTAGTTCCTTTTCACTGGTACTGCGGATTGCGTTTAGCTTTTTCTTTCATATTTTCCTTTGAAGACTTGATCTTGCAAACTTTATAGCTTGTCTTTTAGGAGGCTGCATTGCTGCATTGGACTTTATTTACTTTGTAACCAAGTTACATAGTCCAAGGATTAATCCTCTTTATTCAGTTTAGTTCATAACAATCCTCTCCAAATCTGCAGATGAGTGCCTTAGTTGTTTGTTCTAATCTGTAAGTGTTACTACGGCAGTGAAGTCTGTAAAAACGGTTTACTTCTTGGATGAAATAAATCGTTTATCCAAAAAAAGATACACTCTTTAAATCTTATCAAATAAAATGCAAGTACTTGGTCTCTCAGTTGATCTTTTTATTATAATTTGGTTTCTTCTGCTTAAGGGATAATTGGTTCTTTAATCACTGACCATCAGGTGGTATTTTATTCAAGTGCAAGTGCCAGTTTTTTTTATGAATGTAGTGATTGCTAGTTTGCTTTGTTATTTTGTTAGATGGTGCTGATGCAGTTTTCTTTTCCCTCTTTTGCCAGATTAGGGTAATTGATCGTAACTGTGAAATCCCTCATGAAGGTCCATTCTGTGATCTCATGTGGAGTGATCCTGAAGATATTGAAACATGGGCTGTCAGTCCACGTGGAGCAGGTTGGCTATTTGGGTCCAGGGTCACATCCGAGGTAACCTGTCGCATCTCTGTTTATAGTCATATTGTCACGCTGAAATAATAATTTCAATTTTTTAACCTTTTTTTTCATTTGTTGCAGTTCAACCACATAAATAATCTTGATCTTGTTTGTCGAGCTCACCAACTCGTGCAAGAAGGTCTAAAGTATATGTTTCAAGATAAAGGCCTAGTAACTGTGAGACATGATGCTCTCTGGTATTTTTCGTGTTTGCCTAAAGGTATTAAGAGTTTAAAAGAATTTCTTGATTATTGATTTTTTAAAGGTATGGTCCGCCCCGAATTATTGTTACCGATGTGGGAATGTAGCTTCTATATTGAGCTTCAATGAGAATATGGTGAGAAACCTTTTTCCTTGTATCTTTCTTTCCTCTTCACTTTATATTGGTGTATAAAAGACCTTGCAAAGCCCTCGGTTTCAAATTTTCCTAGGTCATACTCGTGTTTATAATCTTCCATAGAAAGACGCTATTTGTGACGTTTATTTTTATTTGCATATCCTCAGGAGAGAGAAGTGAAGTTCTTCACTGAAACTGAAGAAAACAATCAGATGAGAGGGCCCAGGACTGGAGTTCCATATTTCTTGTAATCAAATGGAGTTATACTCGTAAAATTACCCCAAAGTTTCGGTTCCTCGAAAGAGGCGGAACAAGAAAAGCATCGATACGTTGTTTCCATGTCCTGGTAAATTTCTGGTCCAATCTTGGCTGCAATAAGCCTTTAAATCTTCGTCTTTAATTTCATGTTCATTCCCATACCATTGGTATTAACGTATGCTACTTGATGTTTAGTTAATGACTTGATGACTGGTTTTGAATTATTTTGTGTATTTGTTTCATTATTGTATACTGCTTTGATCTAGTTTTAAATTATCATCATGTGTTTTCTTCTGGGTTTTATTTTGGGTGAAGTACGCAAATGGTCACTAAATTATGCTGAACTAATTTTTTGGTCACTAAAACTTTGGAAGTTAGAAAATAACCATTGAACTTTGCAAACCTTTACAAAAGGGTCAGTAAGCTTTGTCAAACTAATAGAAAATAAAATAATTTCAGTGACCGAAAATGTCTTATAATATACGATTTTAACCAATTTTTCTGGATTTGCAAAAATAACCAATAAATTTGCAACGCAAACTTAAAATTCGTAATGCGAAAATGAAAATTTTTGCAACGCGAATTTTGTAACGCTAATTACCGATATAGGTAAACACAAATATTCGTAACACAGAATTAGAATTCGTAATTCGAACATGGAAATTTTCGCAATGTTAATTACCGATATATGTAAACACAATTATTCGCAACGCGAATTTCACAAATCGAATTCGTCAATTTCGCAACTAAATTACCGATATATGTAAACACAATAGAAAAAATCCGATCAAAAATCCGAATTCGTCAAATTGAAAATTGAGTTGCGAATTTGATAAATTCGTGCTACGAAATGTAAAATAGAAAAAATCATTTCCACAGTTCATTTTTTTTGTTAAAGTTAAACGAATATGAACATTAACATACCCTCGTTCGTGTTTGTTCAATTCATTTACAGGCGTAAACTTAACTGAGTGATTCATACGTGGATTTAGCAACCAGATGTTCCAGGTTAAAAATCATTCCAGTGCATTTTATGTCCTTTAATTTTTTTCTTTAAGAGGCGAGATTTTACATTTCGCAACACGAATTTGCCAAATTCGCAACTCAGTTTTCAAATTGTCGAATTCGGATTTTTAACGGATTTTTTCTATCGTGTTTACCTATATCGGTAATTGAGTTACGAATTCGAGTTGCAAAATTGGCGAATTCGCGTTGCGAATAGTTGTGTTTACATATATCAGTAATCAGCGTTGCGAAAATTTTCATGTTCGCGTTGCGAATTTGTTGGTTATTTTTGTAAATAAAAAAAATTGGTTAAAATCGTATATTATAAGGTATTTTCGGTCACTAAAGTTATTTTCTCAATAGAAAATGGTTATTAAATTTATCGAATTGTTTACAAGATGATCTTTAAACTTGTTAAAATTTAATTTAATTTTACAATGTGTAATAATTACTTTATAATAATTTGATAAATTTAATGGTTATTTTATAATTTTTTAACATTTGGTGATCCAAATAATCATTTTAACACACTTTATTGATGATTTTGTGTATTATACTCTTATTTTGGGGACAAATAGTATTGAATTTTAATCAAATCTTGCTATTCCGTGATGGTTTCAATTGTAAGATATTAAGAAAATATTTGTTACAAAGATTAATCTTTGAAAGAAATGAAAAATTACTTTAATTATACTGTGAACACCAGAAGTTGCTGACAATCACGTATGGTAATTCATATTATCATAGAACGGTTTTATTTCCAACTATCAGTCTATTAATGAGCTTTAAAGTTTTCCAATTTTTCATTATTGTTTGGTTGAAGCAATGAAAAGTAGTACCAAACAGATATTACTTAAAATAATGTGATAATTTTTAGGATGAGTTTTTTTTAAAGGGTGATTGAATTTTTAGTTTTGTATGGATTTAATCAATAAATTTTAATTTTAATATTTGTTATTTTCTAGTTGTTTTTTTTTTGTTACGAAACTCACTTACAATCTCTCTTAATGGTCATCCAACGAAATTAGTTTCGAAATATGTTCTTCTCGAAAGAATATTTTGCATCGTTCAAATTTTTGAATAAATACATCAAATCTTAAAAAATACCTAATTCAAAAACCATGTTCTGTTAGGAAATAAACCGAGTACGAGTAATTTCCTTATAATCAGATTAGTGAGAATGCAAAATAAAAGCGAAAAAATAATACCTGAAATTGATAACGGAGTTCAGCCAATTGTGCTTACGTCTCCGGACTGCTGCAGATCTTTTACTAAGAGATAAAATTTACAGGTGTTTACAAAACACTCACTACTCACAAGAAAACTCTCTAGTATTGGGAGAAAGAAATGATTTTTGGGATGGATTTGAAGCTAAATGAGCTAGGGTATTTATAGTTGAAACTTAAGGACTTAATCATATAAATACCCTAAAGTCTAGTGACTAATTATGATTATCCCATTACAATATTTCAACAAACATCTACCAAACTTTGAAAAACCATTTTTCAAAGAAACATTTACCAAACTTTGAAAACCATTTTCAAATAAACATTTACCAAACTTTGAAAACCATTTTTTCAAAGTTGGTTGCCAAACTTTGAACTTTTAATTTGGTGCATTGCTTGACTTTCAACAATCTCCCACTTGAAGACTGATTTTAATCTGTCTTCACACCTCGATCAATGCAGCAACATTTCTGGTCTTGTTACTCCAGCATGCCAATTGAAGTTGAACACAACTTCAGTTTGTCCGTGGTCATCGTCTTTGTCAACATGTCTGTCGGATTTTGAGCTCCACTAATCTTTTCAAGTTTTAAAATCCCATCTTCCAGAAGAGACCGGATATAATGATACCGTAATTGTATGTGATTCGTCCTGGAATGAAAAGATGAATTCTTTGCTAGATGGATATCACTTTGACTGTCGTAATACAAGACATTGTTTTCTTGTTTCTTGCCTAACTCTTCCAAGAAACTTTGAAGCCAAACCATCTCCTTACTGGCTTCCGTAACAGTGACATATTCTGCTTCAGTTGTGGAGAGAGCAACTATCTTATGTAGTTGAGAAACCCAGCTTACTGCAGTACCTCCTAGAGTATAGACATACCCTGTAGTGCTCCTTCTGATGTCAACATTTCTGGCTAAGTCAACATCTACATAGCCTGTCAGTATCATATCTCCACCTTTGAAACAAAGTGCTTTGTTTGTGGTACCCCGCAGATATCTGAGGATCCATTTGACTGCTTCCCAATGTACCTTGCCTGGATTATTCATGTACCTGCTAACAGCTCCCACTGCATGAGCAATATCTGGTCTGGTACATACCATGACATACATCAGACTTCCAATTGCTGAGGCATACGACACATTTACCATGTGTGCACGTTCTTCCTCCGTCTTTGGTGACTGTTATTTGGAGAGTCTAAAATGAACACCTAAAGGTGTACTTACTAGTTTAGCATCTTGCATGTTGAACCTGGAGAGTACTTTGTTGATGTACTCAGTCTGTGATAACATTAAAGTCCCCGACTTTGTGTCTCTCTTGATCCTCATCCCAAGAATCTGCTTTGCAGCACCCAGATCCTTCATAGCAAACTGCTTCGACAATTTTTTGCTTCAATCGTATAATCTCTTGCATGTCTGAGCCTGCAGCGAGCATGTCATCAACGTACAATAATAAAATAATGAAGTTGTTGTCGAACCTCTTGATGTAGCAACAATGATCTGCTTGGCATCTGGTAAAACCACTGCTACTCATGAAACTATCGAACTTCTTGTACCATTGTCTATGAGCTTGTTTTAAACCATACAAGCTCTTCTTCAACCTGCATACCAGGTTTTTCTTGCATGCCTATATGAAGCCTTATGGCTGCCTCATATAGATTTCTTCCTCCAAATCACCATGAAGGAAAGCTGTCTTTACATCTAACTGCTCAAGATGTAAATTCTCTGCAGCTACAATTTTCAACACCAGTCTGATTGTGGACAGTTTTACGACTGGAGAGAAAATTTCATTGTAGTCAATACCTTCTTTTTGTTGAAAACCTTTGACAACCAATCTTGCTTTGTAGCGTTTGCTCCCATCATGCTCTTCTTTGATTCTGTAAATCCACTTGTTGTGGAGCGCTTTCTTGTCTGGTGGTAATTCAGCTAATTCCCACGTCTGATTTGACATAAGCGAGTCCATCTCATCTTTTATGGAAGACTCCCACTTGACTGAATCCTCCACTTGCATTGCTTCATCATAGCACTCTGGTTCACCATTGTCAGTCAGCAACAAGTAGTGCAAAGAAGGAGAATATTGTTGGGTTGGTTTAGGAATTCTGGAGGAGCGTCTTAGTTCCGGTGTGCCTGGTTCTTCTTGATCTGCTTCAGGACTGATCTGAACATCATTTCCAGAAATCTCCTCGAACTCAGCAAATTCCTTTGTTTCAGCTTCGATGTTTGAGCTACTTGATTCTATGGTTGATCTGTCTTTGTACATCACATTCTCATTGAAAATGACATCTCTGCTTCTGATGATCTTTCCGATTTTTGTAGTCCCAAAACCGGTAACCGAACTCATCACCACCATAACCAACAAAGACACATTTGTTGGACTTGGCATCAAGTTTACTTATTTCAGCAGAGTTTATGTGTACATAAGAAATACAACCAAACACTCTTAAGTGTGAAAGGTTTATTTCTTTCTTGCTCCAAACTTCCTCTGGTATTCTGCCATCCAAAGGAACCGAGGGCCCACGGTTGATCAAGTAAGCTGCAGTGTTAATAGCTTCAGCCCATAGAAATTTTGGCAATCCCACATGTATCCTCATGCTTCTGGCACGTTCATTCAGAGTTCTGTTCATGCGCTCTGCTACGCCATTCTGCTGCGGTGTCATGGGAACTGTTGTCTCCATCTTGATCCCATTGTTTGCGTAGAAATCTCTGAATCTACGATTTCTGTACTCTCCTCCATTGTCATACCTCAACCGCTTGACTTTCAGACCAGTCTCATTTTCCACCATGGCCTTCCATTTTCTAAAGGTATCAAAGACTTCTGATTTATTCTTCAGAGAAAATAAACCCACACCTTCCTTGTAGAATCATCGATGAAGGTGACATAATATAATGAGTCTACAAGAGATGGAACTGGAGATGATCCCCATACATCAGTATGAACCAACTCTAACTTTTCAGCCTTGGGTGTCTTACAAATCTTTGCAAAGCTAACTTTCT